AGTCCCCTAAAAGGGGCCCTAATTGGGGTTATGGTACTTATAAGTCCCTAAAATAACCAGTTACTAAGTCCCCTAAACCCAAACCCTAAACCATTACAGAATGGGGTCCTTAAGGAACCCCTTAGAGTTACTAAGTCCCCCGACCCTCCAAGTGGACCCTAAACCCCTAAACCCCTAAACCTTAAACCCTAAACCCTAGACCCCTTAAGCCCCTTAAGCCCTGAGCCCTTCTTGGAGGACTCCTCTCGTACTTCCACGCCCAATGGCGGACCTCTGCTGGAGGCGGAGATCTCTGAGGCCCTTTCCGGTTTAGGGCTCAGGGTTTAGGGTTTAGGGGCGTTTAGGGTTTAGGGTTCAGGGGGGTTTAGGGTTCAGGGTTTAGGAGGGGTTTAGGGTTAAGGGGGGTTTAGGCTATAGGGTTTAGGGTTTAGGGGGGTTTAGGGTTAAGGTTTTAGGGTTTAGGGGGCTCAGGGTTCAGGGTTCAGGGGGGTTTAGGGTTTAGGGTTTACGGGGGTTTAGGGTTCAGGGTTTAGGGTTTAGGGGGGTTTAGGGTTTAGGGGGTTTAGGCTATAGGGTTTAGGGTTTAGGGTTCAAGGGGGGTGTAGGGTGTGTATGCTTTTTGTGTGTTTTTTAGGTGTATGGGGCAAATGGTATAGGTCATAGGAGTTTAGGATGTATGGTTTTAGGAGGTTGGGGTAGTTTGTTTTGGGTTGAAGGCTGTGCTTGCTTTGGATGCTCAGATTTGCTGGGGCAGGGGTTTAGGGATTCAGGGTTTGCAGGGTTTGTGGATTGAGGTTTTCTTTTTGCTGTTCATGGCTTGGGCTCAGGGGTTTTGGGGCTTGGGGCTTCGTTTGAAATGTGTGCATTTCGATGTTAGGGTTTGGGTTGAAAATCATGCTTCCCAGAACTGGGGATGGAAGGATGGATGGATGGCTGGAAACCCTAAACCCTGAACCCTAAAACCGTAAACTCTAAGCCCTAGAAACTCTAAACCCTCAACCCTAAACTCTAAGGCGTACAAACCCTAAACCCTGAACCCTAAAAACCGTAAACCGTAAACCCTAAACCCTAAGCGCCATAAACCCTAAACCGTAACCCAAGGCGGCACGCGGGGTACAGTACGGCTGCCCAGAGGGGTTCCTTCCCCTCCACCATCTCGGGGACTCCATCGGCGACCCTTGGGTGACCCATAGGCCCCATAGTAGTTCCTTTGTTGGGCTTACCTTGTAGAACTCTGAAGATGAACCCCCAAAAGGAAGTACTTATAGAATTCTAAATATGAACCCCGCAAACGAACTACTTATAGAATTCTAGACATGAACCCCAAAACAAAAGGAGCTACTGTGGGGCCTATGGGTAGCTGGCTTGGCATTAGGATCCGTTTCGGTGTGGGTTGAAGAATCCCAGTTTCCAGAGTTTTCGAGTTGGGGGTTGGGTTTGGGGCGGGTTTAGGGGTTTAGGGTTTAGGGTTTAGGGGTTTAGGGTTTAGGGGTTTAGGGTTTAGGGTTTAGGGGTCTAGCTCCAGTTCTTGAATAGTCTCCTTAGAACTTGCTTTTCATTTTTGTCCTTTTAAAACCCAAAAGCACAATAAAAGTATGTATTGTCCTTTCTTGCTATGGTTCTAAGGGGTTGAGGCTGAAACGTTTCTTCCTTAGCCTGGACCCCTCGAAATTGGGGCATGTCGATGGGCCCCCAAGCCACAGGTGGGGAAAGTCGTGGTGCGTGGAACGCGCCTTTGCTGAATGGACTGCATTGCATCGTCAGACAGACCACAGAGGTCTGGCACATACTACACAACGGCAACTAAGCACCCCCCCCTATATACCTTAATAATGATTACACCGGGTGTTGGATGCAGTACACGCCTGTTTCTGTGATCTTCAACACTACACCATGTGAAAGCCCTGATTCGTTTGTCGGTTGGAATAAAAGAGAGTTTAGGAATTCAGGGCCTAAGATATGCGCACCAATGGCTTCAGTTTGATTCTGCATAGGGCTGATCCAGGGCCCTCGATAGACCGGGTTTGGAGAACCATACTTGAGCACGTTCTTTTGGACTTGCTCCTTCAAGGAACCATCAAGAAATAAACGTCTTCACTTTTGTGGCCCTCGTCACTTCAAAGTCCAATTGAGGTCTTTCATTCTTGGGAAGTGGTTCTTGCAGACTCTACTTTCATGGAGGGTCGTAGATTGAAGCAGATGTATCTGGGTGTTTGCGGAAGCGAGGACTCAGGGCTTGTTGAAGTCATCCTGGTTTACATATGTATTCGTGTTGCTTGCGGTTCTCGAAGTAAATCAATTTCCAAAAGCTTGAATCTTAGAAGCTGCCCCCACCCTGTAATAGTGGTATAATAGGAGTATAAACGGGCCCTAATATAATCCTATATAATCCTTATGGTCACTATTACAGGGTGGGGGCAGCTCCTAACTTCAATCCTACAAGCCCGAGGCTTCATTATTGATCCCATGAAGCTTCGCCTCGAGCTCAATGCCTGAACCCTAAGACCCAAACCCCTAAGCCCTAAAACCTTGTTATACCTTAAAGCCCTGAACCCTAAAGCCCTAAAAAGGCCCTAAACAAAAGCCCTAAAATCCTAAAACTCTAAACCCTATCATAGATCCCTTTGAAGGAACCCTATAATACCCTAAAGCCCTAAACCCTTAAACCCCAAACCTTTGAGGCTCTTGCACTAAACCCTAAAACCCTAAACCCTAAAACCCTAACCCCTAAACCCTAAACCCTGAACCCTGAACCCTGAACTCTAAACCCTTATGGATCCCTTAAATCACTCTTAAAGGATCCCTGAACCTTTGAGGTTCTTGCACGTGGAGGAGGGCAGTCTGCGTGGCCGCTTTCGATCCCTACGCCGGTTTAAGACGGACTCGGTCGCTGCAGGCGAAGGGCTCCAGGTTTGGACGAGGAGGGCTTTGTTATAGGGCTTGGGGTTTTAGGGTTTAGGGCTTTAGGGCTTTAGAGTACATGGTTTGGAAGACTGAGCCTATCTAAACCCAGAGAACCCAATAACCCCTTATTTGAGGAATATACCTTCTTACACCCACACCGAAACGGATCCTAGTCCTAATGCCAAGCAAGCTACCCATAGGCCCCATAGTAGTTCAAACCAAAAAGGGCACCCTTTTGTTCGTAGGTTACTTTTGGGTCTAGCCTATCTAAACCAATTCAGAGACGTCCCGAACTCGGAGCGCAGAATCCTGAAGCTCACAGTTGACTACACTCCCTTGCGGAGTTTGTTTGCAGTTGTTGTTTGCTGTGCCGGTGCACTCTAGGAACCCCGACCCAAGATACCAAACCACGCACCCTAGACCCTGAATCCCTAAACACACTGACCCCGCACCCTGAACCAATGTCCCGGCAGGGGTCTTCGACGAGCTGGATGCCTACGAGCCCGGAAAGCTTAGCAGTCAAGCCGACGAGGCAGATGTCCCGGCGGCTGACGCCGAGGCACCCACATAATGCGTGCCAAAGCATGTGTTACATCCACGCGCACGCTCATATGAATTATATGTGCGTTTGCGGATATATCTATCTGTCCATATATATATATATATATATACATGCATACATACATACATACATACATACATATATATATATATATATACATTACGCATATACATACGTACACATGTAGTACATGTCTACCCTCGTGTGTGTGTATATATATATGTATACATACTCACATATAATATGTGTCAGTTACATATACACAAATACATATACATTTACGTACACACACATATGTATATATATATACACACACATAGCTGATATATGTGTATATACACATATGTACACACACACACAGTGCGCATGCTACAGATGTCGCAGCAAAACGAAACAGTTATAATGATGTCTATATATACATATGTACACACACACATATGTATATATATATATATATATATATACACGCGTACACATGCATGTATTATAGTTGGGTATGTATGTATGCATGCATGTATGTATGTATGTATGTATGTGCATATGTATGCATGCATGCATGCATGTATGTATGTATGTATGTCTGTTAATGTATATGTGCATGTGTGTATGAACTATGTATTTACGCGTGTATGTACGTCGGGTATGCCTGAATTGTTTGTTATGTATGTACATCTGTATGTATGTATGCATGCATTTATGCAAGCATTTTAATAGTGAACATTTACATCACTTATGTACGTTCCATACATACATACATACATACATACCTAATCATACCTACGTTCATACACATAACAGAGCCCGCTGAGCTTCTTGATGTTGGAGCCGTTGCGCCAAACGCATAGGCCAGGTAAAGTTGATTAAGATCCCTATTTGTTTGGTTCGAGGCTTGCAGGGTTCGAGACTGAGCAGCTTGTGGATTGAAGTTCTCGGTGTGCGGGGGCCGGGGATGGCGGGCGGTGCGACAAGGAGACGCATAGCTGTACCTTTCGGTGCCCCAGCATGTGACATTCGGTTTTCAAGCCTTCCAATCACCTGTAGTACACTTTCCAAGAATTGGGGTCCCATGGCATGCATTTATGTCTGTGCTCTTGTGTTTTGTGTACAATTGTGGTTCTGGGTTTCTGATCCACTTTACAGTTCTGATCAGCGTGCAAGAACAAGTTGCATCAGTTGCTAGAACTTTGATTGCCTCGAATACTTGTTGGATTGTACTGACTGAGTGCCTGTGTGCATATACTCCTTGAGAAACATCGTCTGTGTGTACATACTAATATGCATATGTGTATGCTCAGAGAGAGAAAGAGAGACAGAGCACAAGCAGCATGCATGTATGCGTCTACTCGTCTTAATTGCTGCGAGCTAAAGCTTCGGGACTCGGGACAAGTTTGCGAATTGGACAAACATTCCAAGAAATTGAACAGCAACTGTTCAGACTAGCCGCTTGGCCGGGCATAGGATCCGGGGTGGCAATGATCATCGTGCTGCACGCACCACCGAACTAACTACACTGTGGCTGCTTTACCTGTTTTAGATGACGACCTCGCTCGGGCAAGGAGCACAAGCTCAGCACAGCAAGGAACTTCTTGTTGAATCTTTGAGCAGACCCAGCAAGGTGGCAGTGGCGAGCATGCCAGCGGATTCTACAGCGACGCGGCCGCCGTGGCGACGTGGGGGAACGGATGGAAAGACCACAGTGCCTTGGGATGATTGGGGATAGGGAGGGCTGGATGCAATGACACAACCTTCTTACGAGCTTCTGGATTCTAGATTCGTCATGTTCTTGCTACGGCTTAGTAGGTACCAATCAAAGATCACACGTCTTGAGGTAGCTTCTAGGTCCGCTAGGCTCCACCAAGTGCCTCCGTGCTTTGCTTTCGACCAAACTAATCTGAAACCCTGAGCCCTCGTTCATCAACCACTGGAATCTGTATCCCTGAGCGGCCCTAAGCCTTGTAAACCCTAATCTTCGCGAGGTGATGCTCCGCAACATCCCCAACAACTACTCCCGAGACATGGTGCTCGAACTGCTTGATGACCATGGCTTTGCAGGACAGGATGAGGTGGTGCGGTTTGGCATGAAGGGACCAGATGTGTATAGTACATGACCGCATACAATATAATCTAGTCTAATACTTGAAATCTGTTCGTATGCAATACTTGCTGGTGTGCTTGCCATGATGGAGCGAAACAGGGTGCACTTGTGATGATTTGTTGGCTCCATCTTTACAGCTTTGCAGTCTCTTGAGGTCCAGTATTGAAGCACTGTTTGCAGACGCATCTAATCGTCCGGCAAGTGATGCTTCTAGGCCCCGGAACCCCGAGCATGGCCTTGTGCAGACGGTGCTCCCTCACGGCCTCAGATGGCCACCTAGTTCTGAGTTCGCAATACCAAGCCGCGGTTATCCTTGGGTGCATGTCTTCCGTGATCACCCTGCGGCGCCATCTCCCGAAGCCGAAGGATCGTACAATTTTGTCTACCTCCCCTTCGACTTCAATCGTGACGCCAACCTGGGCTACGCCTTCGTCAACCTAGAGACAAGTGATGCTGTGGAACCTTAGCGTGCTTCCATTTGTCCATGTCTCCGTCTCCCTCTCTCTCTCTCTCTCTCTCTCTCTCTGTTTCTCTCTCTCTGTCTCTCTCTCTCTCTCTCTCTCGCTCTCTCTCTCTCTCTCTCTCTCTCTCTATCCCTCCCTCGCTCTCTCGTTCTCCATTGCAACTTAGCCCTGTGCTCTCGCGCTCACTCGCGCTCTATTGAGCCTAAGCTCCACATCTGTGTGTTTTCCACTCACTTTCTCAGCACCGGTTGCCCTGCACCGATGCCAGCAATGCACCTTCGGCCCCTGCGCTTTCAGGCTCTGCCCCAGTCTCCACCCAGCACTAGGTGGTCATAGAACATCTTTACAGTCTTAGTACAGTACAGGAGCAAAACCTATAAGAGCGACCCGGGATAAACATGACGCAGGGTTTGATGACCCGAAACAAACAAAGCAGGATTTCCAGTTTTCAAACGATTCCTACGGAGCCCTGCGTACAGTCATCCAAAGGCTAGTCCAATATACATCGTACTTCAGCTACCATAGAAGCCCTGTAGAACAAGTCTGGTAGCAATTCTAGAAACCCTTAAAGGAGCCCTACAGACCCTACGTAGCTCGACACAAGGATGCCCTATGGAAGACCTTCGATGGATTCTCCGACTGGTCACTGCCGACAGTGAAGGTCTGTCAGGCGAGGCATACGACTGACCTCGATACTTTTTGAACAGATATTGGGATGAACATAGACATATGTATACATATATATATATATATAGATATAGCTATATATATAAAACTATATAACTATATATATATATATATATATATATATATATACACACACACATACAATGCGAATGCATCTCATTCATTTGTTGAATCCAGCAGATGGGTAAGTATGTATGTGTATATATATATATATATGTGATGAGTTATTTGTTTATGCATGCACACACATAGCACAACTATCTGGACATCACAGGGGGCACCAAACCAAAACACGAGGCATTCTGGCTGCTTCATCCGACCCTAACCCTAAACCCTAAAAGCCCTACAAGCCCTAAACCCTATCAACCCTAAACCCTATAAACCCTAAACCCTACAAACCCTAAGCCCTTCAAATCCTAAACCCTATTGACCCTAAACCCCATAAACCCTGTAAGCCCTACAAAACCCTACACCCTAAACCCTAAACCCAATTTTTTTGAAAAAAAAACTAAAGCCCTAATTTTGTCCCGGTTCCCAGGTCTGCTGGAGCGGCCCTCATCAAGGACTCCAGGCACACGTTGAACGATACAGGACGGGGTTTAGGGTTTGGGGATTTTGGGAGGTCAGTCGGTGTTTGGGTGTTTGCGGCTAAACGGGCCGTCGGTGCCTGGGCTGGGGATGCGTTTACAATCCACAGGCTTGATGTTGAAGCCCCGTCAGACGGGCCTCTTCTGACCGTTTAGGTTTAAACAGGCCCCCTGAACAAACCCTAAATCGCAAACCCTAAATCCTAAACCGTGAATCCTAAACCCTAAATCGTAAACCCTAAATCCTAAACCGTGAATCCTGAACCCTAAATCGTAAACCCTAAATCCTAAACCGTGAATCCTAAACCCTAAACCCTGCATCCTAAACCGTGAATCCTAAGCCCTAGCGTCCCTAACGATGCCGAGGGCTAAAGTCGGGTTCAGCTTCAGCCTTCGGAGATTGAGATTGGGCCCTTAAGTTTCAGGATTTGGGGCTTAAGTGAAAGGCTGATAGGATGGGGCCTTGAGTTTCGGGATTTGGGTCTTAAGTGTAGGGCTGATAGGATTAGGGGCCTTAAGTTTCAGGATTTGGGGCTTCACTTGGAGGTTCATGGGACTTAGTAAGTACAGTAATAAGCACCTTAACTGGGGATACAGCCAATTATAAGTATAGTTACCTTATTTACAAGTCTAGTTACTAAGTACCATGAACCTCTAAGTAGACCCTAAACCCTATAGATCCCACAAAGGAACCCTATAGATCCCTTTAAGGAGCCCTATAGATCCCTTTAAGGAGCCCTGGCCTCTAAGAAGTGCAGGGCTGATAGGATTAGAGGATATCGGATAGTATTGTAAACTAGGTAAGTGTGTGGGGTTTCGGGCTCCGGGTTTAGGTTTCTCACCGATGTGTTCCAACACACCCAGGGATCCCAATACCCCTTAGATAAGGAACATACCTCAAAAAATGGAGGCCTTAATATTACAATGATTCAAGGTGTTTTCCTTAATTGAGGGTTATTGGGATCTTTGGGAATCTTTGGGTACCTTTCTGTTACCTGCAACGTTCCAGCCCGCCGACCGCTGATCCGTTTTCTACGTTCGTTTGATTGAAGTTTGGTGCAGTTCTTTCCTCCCAGCAAAAGGGCCTGTTCAGAATTGAATTGGCGAAGTCCTACTTAATGTAGTTGAAGAGTGTTAGTTTGTCTGTACACACGGTTCTAGTTTCCCTATAGTTGCTGCTTAGCAGAAACATCCTTCTCCTAAGCCCAGTGTACATTGAAGTCTTTGCAAGCTTTGAGCCTGGAAACGCTGAGAAGTTGTGCACCAAGATGCCTAAACGCGCCGATCCCTTCCAGGAACAGCCCGGTCATGCACAAGCAAGTCCCAGATCAGTACAAGCCGGTCGTGTTCAAGCATGGCGTTCGCAAGCCTTTCCCCCGACCCACCAAGAAGATCCGTGCTCCGCAGATGTTTATGGGGTACTACTAAGCACAGCTGCTGCCACTGGGATGCAGTTGTTTTGATTGGGTCGTTTAGTCATGGTAACCATGTGCTGCAGTAGTTTTCATTTCCGGTAGAGCTGGGAATGAGTGGACTGAGCCTTGTGGGTGATCCCGACCCCCTACACCACCCCAATAACTTAATAACCCCAAGCCAGGCCAAACAGCCCTTAACCCCAAACCCAAACCTGGCAGAGAAAACCCCTAAAGCACCATAAAACATCGTAGCGTTAGCGCCCGGTACCCCCTGAAGCTCTATGACCTAAACCTTCATCGCACTCTCATCCTACAGCCCAACAGGGGGTCAGAACAACTACCAATCATGGTCCGCAGGGTACCCTTATACCCACATAAGGCACCCCCTACAGCCATATTCTAACCATAATCATAGCATGGTACTATAGTAGCCGGTAGCCCTTGTAGAAACTCCGTAAGGGAACCGTCCCCATTTTCATTTACAGCAAGGTTGAGCTCTCCAAGGCCAACGTTCCAAGCGGTAGGTGCTCTGGGGCAGGCTGTGGTTTTGCGATTTGCTCCTCCTTCCAACCTCAGCTACCAAGCTACTTGGTCATTAATATAGGCGCTTAAATAAATACCCATACTATTCTGGGGGTTCCTTATTATGGTTATAGTATAATGGGCCCCAAGACCTTATTCTAATTATTAAGGCCCCTACATTTGTCGACAACTTTTTAGTCCCTAAACCCTAAACCCCATTATAGATCCCTGTTAAAGGAACCCTATTATGCCCTAAAGCCCTCAACCCTTAAACCCAACTTTTGAATTTTGTTCCGGCTTGGGCTTCCACATAGTGAGAGGGAGCGGGCGAAAAGGTGTCCTTTTTCTTTCTTTCCTGCACTTGGAGGTTCATGGGTAGTTATAAGTAGAGTTATAAGTAGGGTTATGGGTTCAGGGTTTAGGGTTCAGGGTACTTGGAGGTTCATGGGTAGTTATAAGTGGGGCTATAAGTTGGGTAACTGTACTTATAACCCAGGTTAGGGGACTACAGGTAGAGTTATAAGTAGGGTAGCTGTACTTATAACCCAGATTAGGGGACTTATAACCCTACTTATAACTCCTAAACCCTATACCCTTATAGAATCCCTATAGATCCCTTTAAAGGACCCCTATAAACCTTACTTATAACTACCCATGAACCTCCAAGTAAGAGGGACCAAGGCTAGTTGGTTGCGCGGGAGCTGGGCTACAGAGATCTTGCACCGCCCTTCTGCTGAAGGAGGTTTGAGGGGTTTTAATTACTTCTTGTGGCTCAAGATTTAGAAGTCCGAAATCCATGTGAGTATTTGAAGAAACTCCCAGTTTCAACCAGTCAGATCTGTACAGAAGCCCGGGAGGTCAAATGGTTTGTGAGTTGTTGTAATTCAAGGGTCCTGTGTTTTGCAGGATCGTAATGGGCGTATGAGGATCTCTTTGGGAACTGACCTATTGCACAGTCTCAATTTGCCAACACACTGTACAGGAGGCTTGGAATGCCTCGTGTCACGTTGATTTTTCGCTGCAAGGACGGCAATCACTCTGACCAACCATGTGCAGGAGGCAGTTCCATGCCGTGTCGTCGCTTGGACGATACATATGTAATGTACAGCTCCAAGCCATGCATGCATGGTGGACAAGTTTTACACCGAGGTTCCAATAGCAGGGCAACGCACCCTGAACCCTAAAGGCCCGCAGCCTATACCAAGCAGGACTGAACCGTTCACGGCTAAGCAGGAACCGCTGTGTGCTTGTACAACGCAAGTGCGCAATACCCACAGATCCTCCGCGTTGCTCGCTGCGTTTGGTGTCACCACTCGGCGACAGCCGGAGGAATCCCGGCGTAGGCCGGCGCTTTGAAGCTCCATTCTGATCATGACTGGAAAATGAAGCGACGAGAGCAGCAGGTGTTCTCAAGCACAGAAGCTGAGCTGATGTGGCTTATCAGGGGGAGCACGGAATTACAGGTTGGGCTGTCGAGCGTGTGTCCACCTTGTTTGGCCGCAGCCCTGATCCAGCACGTGTTTGTGCGTTTTCAAGTATCATACATGACTAATCATAGCTGCAATGTTTCGGTACTGGACAAGTTCAAGAATGGACCATCAAAGAGATTGATCGACGTACCAATATCAATCAACCAGTTAGCAGGTAGCAGTAGCGGCTGCGGTAGCAGTACTACCAGTAGCAGTAGCAGCAGCGGTAGTAGCAGTAGTACTCGTCGTCGTGGTCGGAGTTGTAGTTGTAGAAGCAAGGGAACGAGTAGGGTGGGGCTTGGGGTAGGGGTCAGGGTAGGGGCTAGGGGTGTGGGCGAAGTGGCAGATAGGGGTCGGGGCAGGGGCAGGGGTAGAGGCAGGAGTAGGAGTAAGAGGGGGAGCTGGAGTTAGGAGTTCGGAGTGAGGAAACAGGAGATAGGAGTACTAGTAGTAGCAGCAGGAGTAGTGGTAGTAGTAGTAGTAGTAGTAGTAGTAGTAGCAGTAGTAGTAGTAGTAGTAGTAGTAGTAGTAGTAGTAGTAGTTGTTGTTGTTGTTGTTGTAGTCATAGTCGTAGTAGTCGTAGTAGTAGTGGTAGTAGTAGCAGCAGTAGCAGTAGTAGCAGTAGCAGTAGCAATTGCAGTAGAAGTTCTTAACCGTTCAAGTCTCAGCATCAAGAGGCTCTACCAAACCTGTTTGCTTCCAAGCCTTCATAATCCCATAACGACCTGGAGCATACGCCTTTAAAATTCTGAAGAATTTGCCAGGCACTTCCCGAACCTGCCTAATCCACTAAAATCCTTGAACACTGCTTGGAGGTTCATGGGTAGTTACACGTAGGGTCATAAGTCCCCTAATATATGGGCTAGAAGTACAGTTACCCTACTTATAACTCCACTTATAACTACCCAAGAACCTCCAACTACCTCCCTAAACCCTAAACCTTAAACCCTAAACCGTGAACCTTAAACCCTAAACCTAAGCCCTAAACCCTAGACCGTGAACCCTAAACCCTGAACCAGGCACTGCTGGAGAGCCTCAGCACACCAGCAGATTCCAGCTCGGTACGCCACTCTGAGGCCCTCCGGGCAGCGTGGCTTGGGTGGCACTTCAGGCTGTTTAGAGTTTACCTAGACCCATGCTTGGTGACCTCAGGTAGGTTTAGGGTTTTGGGCTCAGAGTTTTGGATTTATGCAGGCTTTCAGGTTTTATGGTTGTGGTTTTGGGCTTTAGGCTCCGTTAGTTAAGGGCTGAAGCTCAACGTGTTGGGGCTGGGTTAGGAGCTTCAGCACGTTAGGGTTTAGCCTTTGGAGTTTCAAGGCTTCAGAGCTCGCTTACTATCAGTGGTCTAAAGCCCTGATCCCTAAACCCCAAACCCCAAATAATCTACCTTTTTTACGGTTTCTTATTATGATTGCCTTAAATAAATCATCAAAGAGGTATAGGGTTCTCCAGGGTTTAGGCAAACCCTCATCCCCAGACAATCAACCCAAAAATGCTCGGGTAAGCGTCCGGGGGCCAGGGAATGTGAGATGTGCACTTGCTGTTCTGGCCTCATAGGCAGCCCGCAGCCCGAAGAAACCTACACTTTCCTGGTTCCCTATCATGGCACGATGATCTCCTTATGCCACGGCTTAGGGTTTAGGGTTTTTGGAGGTTTATGCGACGTATCTCACGGTTAAGGTAAGGCTGACGGCGTTCAGGGCTGGATTTCGGACTTGTAGCTACAGATTCGGGCATTCGGGCACTAATGCGTGTGTTTCCCGAATCGAACCATATTGCATAGAGGAGCTGCTTTGCCTTGGGCCTTCTTAGGGCTTCTTACTTGCTATTCTAACAATAATAGCAGTAATTCCACTAACAATATCAATAATACTAACCTTAGTAGCAATGATCATCATACTCACAATAACAATTATCATACTAGTCATAAAAAAATCTAATACTAATTATACTTCTATTGCGGTGTACGTACTCCGAAGCAGTCTGCAAGGCGTCCTACGATTGCTGTCAGGTCCCTAGGTCTCAGTTCCCGTAGAACCCAATAGCCCATAATTCAGGAATATACCTTAACTTACAGGGGCCTTAATATCATGATTTGAGGTATATTCGTTTTCCAAGGGGTTTGGGGATCTGTGTGTTTCTTTCCTGTAAATACTCGAACCGTACTTTGGCCTCATCGTTTTCCTATACCCAAACATCTGAAGACCCGAAAGCCTAGCCCGAAAATTTGCAGCTCTCTACCCTGGCACAGAGAGTCCTTGTGCCAACGTATGGCCCCAACAGTTTAGGGTTTTGGGTTAGCGGTAAGAATGTATTTATTGCATTTGGTTTGGTGTGGTCATACTTTGCCCCGGCACTGCGAACTATGCAGCCTTAGACCCGAAGCCATAAGCACAGCTAGAAAGGTAGGTGTCTTAGGGTCCAGGCAAGCCCTTAAAGCCCTGATTCGCTAAACCTATGAACTCCACGCCTATGAACCTTCAACCCTAAACCTCAAAGCCCAACCTCTACACCCTGAACCCAACTCCCAAACCCTAAACCCCAACCTCTAAACCCTAAACCCTGAACCCCAACCTCTAAACCCTAAAACCTAAACCCCAACCTCTAAACCCTAAACCCTGAACCCCAACCTCTAAACCCTAAACCCTGAACCCCAACCTCTAAACCCTAAACCCTGAACCCCAACCTCTAAACCCTAAACCCTGAACCCCAACCTCTAAACCCTAAACCCTGAAACCCCAAACCCTAAACCCCAAGCTCTAAACCCTAAACCCTAAACCCCAACCTCTAAACCCTAAACCCTGAACCCCAACCTCTAAACCCTAAACCCTAAACCCCAACCTCTAAACCCTAAACCCTAAACCCCAACCTCTAAACCCTAAACCCTGAACCCCCTCTAACCCTAAACCTGAAACCCTAAACCCCTGAACCCCAACCTCTAAACCCTAAACCCTGAACCCCAACCTCTAAACCCTGGAAACCCTGAACCCCAACCTCTAAACCCTAAACCCTAAACCCTAAACCCTGAACCCCTCTAAACCCTAAACCCTGAACCCCAACCCTAAACCCTGAAACCCCCCAACCTCTAAACCCTAAACCCTGAACCCCAACCTCTAAACCCTAAACCCTGAAACCCAACCTCTAAACCCTAAACCCTAAACCCCAACCTCTAAACCCTAAACCCTGAACCCCAACCTCTAAACCCTAAACCCTGAACCCCAACCTCTAAACCCTAAACCCTGAACCCCAACCTCTAAACCCTAAACCCTGAACCCCAACCTCTAAACCCTAAACCCTGAACCCCAACCTCTAAACCCTAAACCCTCTAAACCCTAAACCCTGAACCCCAACCTCTAAACCCTAAACCCTGAACCCCAACCTCTAAACCCTAAACCCTAAACCCCAACCTCTAAACTCTAAACCCTGAACCCCAACCTCTAAACCCTAAACCCTGAACCCCAACCTCTAAACCCTAAACCCTGAACCCCAACCTCTAAACCCTAAACCCTGAACAAACCCTGAGCCCCAACCTCTAAACCCTAAACCCTAAACCCCAACCTCTAAACCCTAAACCCTGAACCCCAACCTCTAAACCCTAAACCCTGAACCCCAACCTCTAAACCCTAAACCCTGAACCCCAACCTCTAAACCCTAAACCCTGAACCCCAACCTCTAAACCCTAAACCCTGAACCCCAACCTCTAAACCCTAAACCCTGAACCCCAACCTCTAAACCCTAAACCCTGAACCCCAACCTCTAAACCCTAAACCCTGAACCCCAACCTCTAAACCCTAAACCCTGAACCCCAACCTCTAAACCCTAAACCCTGAACCCCAACCTCTAAACCCTAAACCCTGAACCCCAACCTCTAAACCCTAAACCCTGAACCCCAACCTCTAAACCCTAAACCCTAAACCCCAACCTCTAAACCCTAAACCCTAAACCCCAACCTCTAAACCCTAAACCCTGAACCCCAACCTCTAAACCCTAAACCCTGAACCCCAACCTCTAAACCCTAAACCCTGAACCCCAACCTCTAAACCCTAAACCCTGAACCCCAACCTCTAAACCCTAAACCCTGAACCCCAACCTCTAAACCCTAAACCCTAAACCCCAACCTCTAAACCCTGAACCCCAACCTCTAAACCCTAAACCCTGAACCCCAACCTCTAAACCCTAAACCCTGAACCCTAAACCCTAAGCCCCCACCTCAAAACCCTAAACCCAACCCCTAAGCCCTTGACCCCAACCTCTCCTAAACCCAACCCCTACACCCTACACCCTAAACCCCAACCTCTAAACCCTAACTGCGTGGAACACGCTATCAGGATGCTCCCTGCGCAAAGGATGACACACCAAGGTGCGCAACACGAAGGCTGTTTTTGCTCGAAAAAGTTCGGAGCCCCAGATAAGCGATCGATTAGGCCATAACATTCGGGAATCACGAAAGTCGCCAGGCAATCTTGTCCTTCGGATTGGATTCGGATTAAGTGCTTGTTTGGACGTTTGTGTCCCTGGAGATCGAGGTGGCCGCTCGGATTGCAATTACTGGGTTTGGGTGGTTTAAATTACGTAGGTTATCAGCCGTAACCGGCTAGGTTACGGGCTACGAGACTTGTTCGGGGTCTAGTGTAGATTCCTTCGGGAGCCATGGATGCTCTTCGCCGTAGTAGGAGAAACTTGACTGCTGGTGATCCGGAGTTGGGAGATTCTGCTATGGAGCCTGATTATACAACAGCCTTGGGTCAAGATCTTGCGCCTCATGAGGGTGTTGAATCCAAGCATGTGGGAGAGGCCTCTCCGGGAACTCTCGAGGAGGGTGGGGCTATTTCGCAGTTGGATGAGGGGCCTATTGTAAGTCCATTTCATTCTGACAAGGTCAGGGTGGAGGTGGCTTTGGCACGGAGCAGGCCTAAGTTCCTCGATGACGATGGGCGTAGGGTTGGCGATTATAGCGATACGGGGCTAGGGGATAACAGCTTGGCAGGGCGCCAAGATGAACCAGACTACTCTGGACTTGTATCAGCTCAGATGGGGCTGCCAAGGGTGGCAAGGATTGAGCATGTGGCGTCTCCGGGCGCGGCTTCAAGCGGCAAGGGTCGTGATGGTGTAGAACATTTCGATACTGCTAAAGCTGGAGCTCGGCAATCGCCGGATCATGAAGGGTCTACCGGAAAGGGTGTTGGAATTCCTGGCGCTGCAAGACGGGTGTCTCAACCTATTGATTTGGATCCTGAGCCTCAGGGTAATCCCGAAAGGCCGAGCGTTGATGATCATCGGGAGTTGGTACCTGCGGAAGCTAGTAAGGCCGATCAGCTTGAGGTGATGCTCCTTCAAATCATGGAAGAGAATAGACTGCTCCGGGATAGGTTGGATCAGGTTGAGAGGTCTAGTTGGCATTCCGGGGGTACTAGGAATACGGGTGATTTGGCTGGTGCATCACCTATGTCTTTCGGTCCTGACCATACGCTAGCGGTGCAACCTGTACAGGCTGAGCCACCTAGAGTGCAATTGGATGCCAGTGGGAATGATCACCGGGATATGAGAGCCGGGGGTTTAAGTCTAGTTCCATCTCGACAGCTGGAGCTAGTTGCTCCAGGCCAATCTTCTGGACTGCGGAATCTCAATGTGGGTGCTTCCCAAGCCGGATTTTCAGGGCCGGGCGACGCGTTGTCACTGGACGTTAGGACACAGTCGTTTAGAGATTTCAGACAGATGGTTGAGGATCAGGGTCAGAGTAGTAGGGGTGATGCGGGCTTTCATACTCCGAGGTCGGGCCCTTCTACGGGGTTGATGGTCTCTGGGGATGGTTATCCGGTTTCTCCTGGAGGGACTGTTATCCGGCCTCCGCCTGGACCGCCACCTACCTCGCCACGCGTAGCGCCTGCGCCTCCTGTTTTGCCTAGTGGTCTGGGTTGGGCTGTGCCATGTGCTGCTTCGCCTGTTGGTTCTGGGATGCCCTGCGGTTCAGCGGTTCCGGGATACACGGGTGGCCACGGTATGGGTCAAGGAAGTGTTGGAGGGGCTTTCGCGGGTTCTGTTGGGGGTCTTGGGGCTTCTTGTCGGGTGCCTGTTGCCTCTGGTGGTAGAGGGCCGCTTAACCCAGAAGAGCCGGCGAAATACATCAACGAGCTTCCGAAACTGACTCAGACGGACTTGTCAAAATCAGCTGTTGTGTGCGGGAATTGGGTCGCTCAGATTCGGCAGATCCTTGTGGGGTTGTCTCCTAACGCAAGTACGTGGTGGCTTGGTGTGGAGGGTCCTGCAAATGAAGCATATCAAAAGTGGTTGGTGGCTGACCCACTGGGGAGGTTGGCGATTGATCCCTCGATGGTAAAGGGAACCTTCGATGCATACGCGTTTAGCCGGGTAGAAAGTCGGGCTGTAAGCTTGCTACTTTCTGCTGTTCCACAGGGGGTTAGGGAGGATGTTGTTACCAACCGTTGGCTTTCTTCGGCGGCCATCCTTTTTAGGATTCTATGCTTGTTTCAGCCTGGAGGTAGTACCGAACGAGCACACTTGTTGAGCCAGCTGGTGAACCCTGGGGTATTTAAGGGCTTTTCGGAGGCACTAAAAGGTCTGAGGCAATGGCAACAGTCGCTGCAACGGGCAGGAGAAATACACGCCACCCTACCGGACCCTAGCCTTTTGCTTAAAGGGGTGGATGGTGCTACGGGGTCGCTTCTGGCTGCTCACCCTATGGTCGGGTTCAGGGTAAACGCGTTTCGACACCGTTCTGCTATCGATTATAACCCGTCCGTGGATGGGGTTGTTCAACTAGTGAAACTTATTCGGGCTGAATGTGAAGCGGGTTCTTTAACTATGGATCCTCCTGATAAAAAGGCGCGTGCGGCCGCTCTTGCTGCGTCAACTGCTTCTGCGGAGGTTGCTTCGGGGGTTGAGCCTAAGGGTCCTTCTGTTTCAGCGGTGCAAACTGGAAAGGGTGGGGATTCTGGGTCGGGTGGACAACCGAAGGGCAAGGCTAAAGGTAAGGGGTCGGGGGAAAACGCGTCACTGTGTACAAACTTCTCAACCGCCGTGGGGTGTCGCTTCGGGGATGCTTGTAGATTTAAACACGACCGAGCGGTAGCTAGGAGGGAGAAGCGGTGCTTGGCCTGCGGACAATCGGGACATTATAGGCCAGAATGCTCTGTAGTGCCGGAAGAGCATAGGCGGGTTCAGGTTCCTGATAGTGGTTCGGATGCCTCCCCTAAGGCTAAGGCCAATCCTAAAGCTAAACCCAAGGCCGGTCCGCAGGCAAAGGGTGTTACTGAAGAGTCAGCGAGTGCAGCTTCGATTTCTCAGACACCGCAGCCAAAGGCTGCTGCCACTTCGAGTGCAACGGTGCAGCAGGAGTTGCTGGCAGAAGCTCAGAAGTTACTTAAGGGCGTAACCTTGAAGGCTGCTAGGGTTCAGGATGGTGGTGATCTTGCAATTGATAGGGCCTGGCTTCTGTCGGCTATGGCTAGTGCGTCGGATCCTGATTTTGCGCTTGTGGACAGTGGAGCCACAAATGGGTTAAGGCAAGCGGAGCCGGGCGAATGGGAGCGTACTAGGGCCATTCAGGTTGATTTAGCTTCCGGAGTTGCGGAGCTTCACATTGATGAGAGGGGGACTCTCTTGAGCCAGGCTCCCTGCCAGGTCATAGTCCCTGCCGGTTACTTAATTGAACTGGGTTATGTTGTGAGCTGGAAGAAGAAGGGCTGCTTGATTACTCATCCTAGGGATGGTAGGCTTCGGGTACAGGTAGTTAAGGGATGCCCACTGATTCCGAGGGATGATGGCTTGAGATTGCTGCGGGAGTATGAGGGTCTTAAGGATAAAGGAAATTCCCCCCAACGGGCGGCGGTTTGTCGGGAGAGTGAGATTGTTGATCCTGCGAATGCACGGGCTTGGTTATGCAAAATTCTTCGCTCCAGGGGCGAACAGGGTCCGTCTATTGAGGAGCAGGAGTGTTTTCTCAGGGGGATGTTTCCCGAACTGCCGGATAATTGTGTTCGGAGGGTAGTTTGTCCGGTGTTGGACCCTGGAGATGTTGATCACTCGTCTCACCCTTGGAATCGGCGCTTTCGTCGGTCTGTTGCGCGTTCGAAGCCTGGCGGTATCTTGCTTCATATGTTTGCCAACAAGAAATCCTGGAAGGGTTTCGACCGGGTGATTAGCCTCGGTAAGGATTACCAGTCGGACATCCTGAGTGACCCGGTGTTTAAGTATGTGATGTCGTGGGCCAGTTCAGGGAAGATTGGTGGTTTGGTTGGATCATTGCCGAGAGAGTCGGTCTGGCCTGGCGGTCAATCTTCTGGTCCCCAGGAACTTTTGAGGGGTAGGTATGGCGATCGTTGGGGTTTTGAGGGCTTAACCGGAGAGCAGTCTAGGGTTGTATGCGATGAAACGGTTCAGTGGTTCCGATTCTTTCTGGTATTTGCGGTAGCACAAGCGGTTAAGGATGCTGAGAGCGCTCCGATGAGCTGTCCTGTAGCGGAAAGGGGGGAGGAGGAGGTCCCTCCACCTGGGGTCGAGGATCCCAAGGATTTAGCTTTGTGGGCATTACGGGTTGCGTCTAAGAGGATTAGTGCTGCTGCCATTAAGAAAGACAACGAGGGGAATCGATCCACTGTATTCTTGACCTTTGAGCATCCTTTTGATTTCACGGAAGGTTCCGGCATTGGTCGGACGGAGCTCGCTGGGTATCCTTCTATGTGGGCATTTAGGGAGGTTCAAGATCTCGTTGGGGTGTACGGGTTGCACATCGCATCATTTGATCAGGGATTGCTTGGTGGCCGTAATGGGGAGCTGACAACGATTGCTACCTCTTCGTGGTTTCTGTATGAGGGACTTCATGGAGTTGGTATAGATTTGAAGGGTGATCCTAGTGGGGAGTTGAGGCCTTGCATTGAGTATTTCGGGTGGTCCATTGGGTTTCTAGCGCGCGTACAAGGGGCTTGGTTGGATTGGTGTGCTGGGAAGGAAAGTGAAGCTGTCGTAGCTGAGCGGAAGGTTTGGCTAGCTAAGCTTTCTGAGAAAGAACTACTTCAGCAGCACGCTGATAACGATCATGTTCCGTTTCTTCGGGGTTGCCCCGTGTGTATAGCTGCACAGGGTAGGCAGAGAAGCCATTGGAGGGCCGAGGTAACTAGCCTGTATTCTCTTAGCTGTGACTTAGCTGGGCCGTTTAAGGACGGGATGAGTTTTGATGCTACAGCTTCTGGTAGAGATAAGGGCAAAGGGTATAAGTACTTCTTGAGTGCTGCGTATTCGGTGCCGGTGAAACCGGTGTATCTTCGGCCAACGGGGGTCGAAGAGCCTCGCCCAGAGGGGGCGGAGGATCTCGATTACTCTCCTTCTGAAGCTGAGGGTCCGGAGGGTCAGGCTTCAGGTGTAAGCGGGTTGGATGCTTCGCTTATTGTAGAATCGGGGGAGTCTGATCTGTTTGACGCTTCGGGGGGTTTGGGCCTGAAGGCATTGTTTCGCAGAGTCCGGGAGAAAACTTTTCCTGCTGTTGATCCCCTGGATTCGAGTACTTCCTTTGCGCATCAGCGAGTCGCTGAGACAGGGCCTGAATCCCCGGGTGATAAGGGTCAGTCTTCGGTTGATGGTGTAAGGGTTGAGACAAAGACTTTGTTTCTTGGGGTCCCGTTAAGATCCAAACATGGTCCTGCTGTTATGGCACAGATTCAGGCCCTTGTGTGTCGTCTTGAAAGCGCAGGGTTTCCGGTTCATCGCTACTTTAGTGATAGGGCTAAGGAGCTGAGGAGCCATGATTTGGTACGTTGGTTGCGCGATAAGGGGATTTACGCCTCCTTCACGGCTGGGGAAGATCCTCAAGGTAACAAAGCGGAGTTAGGGGTGCAACATTTGAAGCAAGGGGTCAGGAAGCTCCTGCAAGCTTCGGGTTTGAGTAGCTCCTTTTGGCCGCTAGCGCTACTGCACACTTCTAATCGTAACTTCCACGAACTTTGTGCAGCTTTGGGTCAACCACGGCCTGCTATGCTGAACTTTGGTGCACCTGTTGAGGCCAGAAAACGCCTTAAATCGGGGCACAAGAAACATTGGGAGCCGCGTACGGTTCCTGGTCGTTATTTGGGACAGGCTCCGGATTGTACGGGTGGACATCTAGTTCTAGTTGGCAAAAATTTGTCGGACCAGAAGGTTCTCCTAACCAACACGATTTATCCATTGCGTCCCGAGCCTGCGCCCCCTAAACCCAAGTATCGACTTTCGGGTAAGCGCTCGCCCGGTTTCGCAACTCGAGCTGTAGCTGCTGTGGCCAGTCTCTGGCCTTCCCGAAGACCTCGTGCATCCAGGTTGTCACCTGGGGGGGAGTCCTTTGAGTGTTCGGATGGAGTCCTGGGTTTTTCGAGTGAAGGCGCGGGTTCTTCCTTGCTGAGTTTGGGGGCTTCGACACCAAAGGATTCTTCTCGGGACGTAGAGCTTGGAGAATGGGTCGAGGTTGATTCGGATTTCGAAGCTGAGCAGGCGATGTGCCTGGATATTCTTGATGAAGAGGATCCTAGGGGCTTAGATGTTGGGTTGAAGGCGGTAGCCGAGGAACAGAAGGAGTGGTTGAAAGAGTTGATTGCTTCCGGCTCCTACAGTACTGATGAGGTTGTAAGGGTTTTAAGAACTTGTGCAGGCAACCTGCAACCGGCGAATCGGAAGATTATGGGAGGAAAGGGTAGGTATGCTATTCTTGGCCTGTATAATCAAGGGGGTTTCAACGGTGTAACCCGGTTTGCCCTTGATAACCAGGAATTGGTGAGGTACTTGAATAGGTATGTTGATTCGTTCGGCATGGGTGGAAGGTATACGACGCTGTACTTGTCATTGAATACTGGAGTACCAGTGCACCGGGATATCAGGAATGATATGACGGCCCCGGTTTGGATTGTAGCCTGCGGTGACTTTCAGGGTGGTGGCCTATGGATAGAGGGCGAAGCCGGTCAAGGTCCCGTGTTAAAGGTTCTTCCGAATGGGGAGACGCGGTGTGGGTGGATTCAGGACATTCACGATAAACCTTTTGTTTTTGAGGGTTCCAGGTGGCACTGTACTGAGCCTTGGAGCGGTAGGGACCGGTGGGTGATCGCAGCCTACGTTCCTCGGGGAGCTGGAAGGGTGATCAAGGATCATGCCCAACAACTTGAAAGCCTAGGGTTCAATTGTGATGGTTTGATTCCTGGGATTGGGAATTCAGGGATCTCGATTTCGAAGTGTAACCAGGCGTCGGTATCGTTTGCCGATGATGATGCCCTTAGCGTTGAGGGTTCCTGTGTTGATGACGAGTATCAAACTTCTGAGAATGACATTTCTTGGGAGATTGATTTTCCGTGTGAAGTGCTTGAGGGTGATTGGTATCCAAATGTCGTTCAAGCTCATGCTGAGACCGCACGCTTGCGCAGGGTCCTATCACAAGAGCTGGGCGGATGTTGGGATTCGTTCTGCTTTGATGGATTGTTCGGGCAGCTGAGAGCGGCTGAGAATCAAAGGGATTGGTATGAAGGGCTTCTCTGGGATGAGTTTTTCGGGATTCCGCGATATCCTTGAGGTCACTAAGTACAGTTCCTTTGGGCAGTGATGAGCCGTTACCGGCTTCAGAGGTGTTCCTTCAAACTAGGACGGTCTCTATGACGGAAGCTAGGCGGGAACTTCCGTTGTGGATTCCACCGGCGCAGGAGGAAGTTACGTCTCTTGAGGATGTCCATGAAGCAGTCATTAGAATACAAGTTCCGGATATCGAGGCCCTTGTTAAGACTGGTCATCGGGTTGTTCAGGTTCCGGGGAAGGCCGTGCTTACGCGGAAGTCCGGTGTAGGTAAACGTCGGTTTCGATGCGTGGCATGTGGGAACTTTATCCCTCAAAATGAGAACGCCCAGAGCCTCTACACCACTGGAGTTGAGGGTGTGACTTTAAGGGTAGCACTTGCTTATGCTGCACATATGTCTTGGGTTGGCCGGACCGCCGACATTAAGACTGCATTCCTGAATGCCCCCTTAGAGGAAGGCTACGATAATGGGACAGAGGAGATTGTAGTTGTACGCCCTCCTCACATTCTTGTGGAAATGGGACTCCTTGGTGTCACTGATCGGTGGCGGGTAGTTAAGGCCCTTTACGGTCTAAGACAGGCTCCGAAGGCTTGGGCTGTGCACCGGGATAAGATTTTAAAGGCTTTTGAGTTCGTGTACAAGGGTTCGCGCTTTGTCCTGAAGCAAGCGATTGCTGATGAGTCGTTATGGTACATTATAAAGGCGGACATCTCGGATGCTAACAACTATGCCCTGATGGTCGTGTACGTCGACGACATCTTGGGATTGGGACCAAGGGACCTTTTGGTATCGCTCTTCGAAGCCATTAAGAATATTTGGACGATTTCTGAACCAGAGTGGATTGTCAAGGAGAAATCTGTAAAGTTCTGCGGCATTGAGTTGTGGGCACTTGATGACGGCTTCCGTATGTCTCAGTCGGATTACTTGAGGGAGCTATTCGCGAGGTATAACATTTCCACTGGTGCGAGCTGTCCTATGTCATCCTGGAGCGAACCGGAACCCGAGGTAGATGCAACAACAGATCTGATCAAGGAAGCCCAAGGGGTCACAGGTGCACTCCTATGGGCTGCTTCGAAAAGCAGACCGGACATCAGCTACTCTGTCTGTAAGCTTGGGCAGTACGCAACAAAATCGCCGGGTATCGTCGTCAAGGCTGGTATGCAAATCCTTAAGTATCTCTTTGACACTGTAGAGCTGGGCATTGAATACAAGCGAACAGCAGGCACAGCTTGGTTGGACACACCAATCCCGAGAACGGTTGGTACGGTAGAGGTGTTCACTGATGCTTCACACGCGCCGGAGGGGGCTAGAAGCCACCAGGCGATTATAGTGATGTGGCTTGGCAGTCTTATCGCTTGGGATTCATCCAGACAACCTTTCACAACACTGTCCAGTGCAGAGAGCGAGCTGGTGGCCATAATATCTGGGGTGTGCGCCGCGGAATCAGTCGGGGCTATCTTGGAGGAATTAGTCGCTGAAGACCTTGTGGTATCGGCGATGTCCGACAATCAAGCATCAATCCGAAGCTTCGCTGCTGGAAGCCATGGCTGGCGTAACCGCCACTTAAGAATGCGCGCGGCCTCGTGCCGCGAAAGAATCGAATCTGGTAGTCTAATTGTCTCCTTTGTACCTGGAGAGCGGCAGCTGGCCGACTTAAGCACCAAACCGCTAGCAAGACCAAGAATTATGTACCTACTAAATCTGCTTTCAATCCGTGCGAGGTCGCAGGATCAGGAGGTTGATAATCACGGACGGGTGTTGAGTAGGCTCTGGTTGACTTCGCAGCTTAAACCGGTGGGTTCAGCCCACATGTTGGCGGGGTTAGCGTTGCTTGCAGCCATACCGGAAGTGAGAGCGCAGCCTAGTGGAGATGCGGCTTTGGAGTACTATGGATGGTTTAGCTGGTTGATTATGTGGATACTTACCGGGGTCGGTTTAGCTTTAGCTTGGTGGTTTGTGTTTCGCAACGCGGATGCGGACAATCTTGAGGAGCAACCGCTTGAAGCATCCCAAGAGTCTGGCGTGCATGAGCTTGCTGGTCAGGGTGATCACGGGTTGTTTGGTTCGGATGCGGTTGCGGGTTTAGGATCGGGTTCTCAGGTTGGGGGGAGCAGCTCTAGTAATGATCCAGCCGGGTTGATGCCACAGACGGTTGGCGCTGGGGTTGATTTTGCGACTTCTCTGACTGGGGGGAGTTTCTCTAGTCTTGATCCAGCTGGGCTGCTGCATCAGCATGCTGCCGAAGCGCTTTTAAATCAAAGTGAACCAGCTGAGCCAAGTTTAGATTATGAGGATCTGGTCCAAGGGGACGAGGAACCGGTGTTTCCCCTGGCCCTGGTAGGAGGGTATCTAGTTCGGCATTTCTTGGTACAGCTGTTGTCGGTAGAAGGGGAAAGGGTTTTGATGTTCCTTGGGGATAGGTCTGAGTCTGGGTTTAGGCTTCGGTTGACCTCTACTCAAGTTAGGTTTGGAGTAGCCGGTTCACTGGTTGAGATTCTTAGGCAAGGACCTTGGGCATTGGTTTTTAATGGGCCTCAGTGGCTACTTGCCACAGAGGAATACATCCGACGGGGGTGTGTTGATCCGGGCTTTGAAGAACCATTCGGAGCATCTCTGTCAAATGTGGCACAATCATCTCATGAGGTTCCCGTCAGTGGTGAGCTTACTGAGTTCCCCTATGTCATTTGGGCTCCTTCTGACTTTGTTCATTACCTGAGACGATTGCTGGCTTTGAACGGCGCCACATTGTTGAGCTTGCTTGGTAACCAGTCGGTCGAATGGGTGCGGCTGAGGACCGTGTCGAGATCCTTTCAATCTGGGGTCGTGCTTGCTTTAGTGGTATGGCTTCAGGGTCGAGGGATGATTAGCCGAATGCTTGACGGTCCAGTGTCCTATGACGTAGCCACCGCTTACATTACTGGGCGCATTGCGCCAGATTCCGAGAGCGAAGATGAAGCATTGGATGATTATCCGCATCGCGATCCCGCCTACCAACAGCATCCTCCGGTGCCAGTGTTTGCTCAGATGTTTCAAGAAGCTTTTGAGGAAGCTACTTCGTCTGATGCGAGTGTGACTTCTACTACCGAGCCATCGGTTTGGAGTGCGAGTTCTAGTGAAGTTGAGGAGCTTGGGCAAGTCGAGGAAGTCGCTGATAGCTTGAGTCCTTCTGCTGAGGCTGTAGCTGGGGTCCGATACGAAGCTGAAGACGGGAAGCTTTTGGTTTACTATGTCGATGATGTATTAGTTGTTCCTCTGCCGGGGTGGAGCCTCGCGCAGGTTCTGGTGGTAGTTCAAGGGCTACGCACAGGCGTTTGGGATAACTTTCAAGAGGCCTTGGAGGCTGTTTCAGGTGACGGGGCAGAAGCTCCTGGGTCTTAAGGGGTTTCTAGGTTCCGGCTAGTGGGATTGTTGGGTCTTGCGTTTGCGAGTGATTTAAGATTAGGCTGATAGTAGGTCTCTGAATTCTGGGTTCGGGGATTGGTCTGTGCGCCACGACCGAAGGTTGTCGAGATCTGCTTGAGGTGATACTTGAATGCTCTGTGACCATGTGCGGTGATCATTTCCACGAGTGCTGTCGGGCTCCCTTTTAATCACGATGAAAACAGCTTTGAGTTGGTGATGGAAGGCTGTAAGTTCCTTCCTTTTGCTCTGCAGTCAAATAAAGGCTGTGGGTACCTAGTTAGCTTGTGATGATTTCCCGTGGTAGGCAATGTTTCTCCAATTTTAGATTGGGCTTTTAGAGGTCCTGTTAAGCTAAGTCTGACAGGTCGTTTGGAAACACGCTGAACGAGGGAGATTGTCCGTTAGTGTTGGACGCTGGAGACTTGTATTTCAACTATCCCCGAAGGGGACCCTCACGAATAGCTCGAGGTGATCGGAATTGAGTCTTAGCTTTTGTCCTCAAGCCGAGTGCATAGTGTCGAAACAGGTGGGAACATCCTGAATCTCGTGCGAAAGCATGTTTTCCTAGTACCTATCCCCTGGCTCTTGTAGGACCAGGTGAGGGGGAGTGCGTGGAACACGCTATCAGGATGCTCCCTGCGCAAAGGATGACACACCAAGGTGCGCAACACGAAGGCTGTTTTTGCTCGAAAAAGTTCGGAGCCCCAGATAAGCGATCGATTAGGCCATAACATTCGGGAATCACGAAAGTCGCCGGGCAATCTTGTCCTTCGGATTGGATTCGGATTAAGTACTTGTTTGGACGTTTGTGTCCCTGGAGATCGAGGTGGCCGCTCGGATTGCAATTACTGGGTTTGGGTGGTTTAAATTACGTACTAACCCCTAAACCCTGAACCCCAACCTCTAAACCTAAACCCAACCCCTACACCCTAAACCCTAAACCCCAACCTCTAAACCCTAACCCCTAAACCCTAAACCCCAACCTCTAAACCCTCAACCCAACCCATATATAAACCCATAAGCCCGGGAAGCCCTAATTCGACAGCCGAGGCTCTGGCTGTCAGCCGATTTCTGCTCGGCGGAGGCATCAGCGTATGTGCCGGACCTGGATGAACAGGTAGGTTTGGGGCTTTAGGGTTTAGGATAGGTTTGGGGTTTAGGGTTTAAGATAGGTTTGGGGTTTAGGGTAGGTTTGGGATGCCGGGTTAGATAGCCTAAACCCCTAAACCCTGTAGGTTTGCAGTGATTAGGTAGGTTGGTAGGTTGCCTTCGAACTTGCCTTTGGGGTTTCGGGGTTCCGTGTTTTCAAGCGGATTTACACAGGGTGTCATAATATAGGTTAGGGAACTTAGTGTGTTGGGCTGAGGAGACCCAATCCAGGGTTCGGGGTGTGATTAGGGTTGGCTGGTTTAGGCCTGGATTTAGCGTCTTAGGGCCAAGCTTAACCCCAAATAACTTACCAGCCAACCTTGATGAAGAAGCTTGTAAGGAAATCATCATAAGGAACCGCAAAGAAGTAGGTTCTGGGAGGATTAGGAGAAGGAAAGGCTTGTGTGACGGCTTGCAATCGACTTCGAGCTTTGCTAAGCAAGCAAGCAGCTATCGTCCGGTCATGCAGCAAAGTAGCCAAGGGTCACAATTTGGGCCTGACGCTTCAGGACAGACTTTCGCCGTGAATTCAAGCAACTGCAAATCCTAAAAGACTGTAGTGTCCTAACATGTGTTTGCAATACTGTCAGCTCCAATAAGTTCAGAATCTGCCGGTGCAAGCCCTGTCACGAGGCCGCACACGCATACCACAGCTTCCTTTCAGGGGCTTAGGGTGCAGGTGTTCGCAACTAACAGCATCTGAGCTGCGCCACCAAGTGAGTTGAGTTCTGCCCATATCTTGATCCACCTCTTACTCTAGACATTAAGCCCTAGGCCTTATATCCCTAAGCCATAGAGTTCGTATGCTGCTGAAGCCACGAATCCAAGGATGGAAAAGGGACCCTTAAGAGTCTTTATATAGGTTGTATAGTAGGTACATACGTGGAGGGTCGGGGGACTTAGTAACTGGTTATTTTAGGGACTTATAAGTACCATAACCCCAATTAGGGTCCCTTTTAGGGTACTGATAAGTCTACCTACTAACTACTTACTATGTCCCCCGATCCCCCAAGTAAGGATCCCAAGGTCAAGGGCCCATACTAAGGGCCCCCATGGTTTCAACCGGAGAACGAAGGTCACCCCATGGCTGACTCACGCAGATGCTGTTGTGGCGGCCGCTGCATGGCGAAGCCTCCGCTGTCACTCCCGCTGCTTGAATCAGGGTTTTGGGTTTAGGGTTTATTGAAGGGTTGAAGCCTCACTTGCTTCAGGGTTAAGGGCTATCGAACAAGGATCTGTAACTCTGAAATAGCATGTTAAAGGAACGTATATCTTTATGCATATAGGTATATACACAGATGCACATGTACACACCTATACACATGTACACATATACATATGCGTGTATGTATGTATGTATATATATATATATATATGTGTGTGTGTATACATCTATATATATATATATATACAAGTATTTCAGTACTTTTACATACACATACACATACACATAGACACACACACACACACACACACTCATACATACATACATACATACATACATACATACATACATACATACATACATACATACATAGAGGCATACATACATACATACATACATGCATACATACATACATATATATATATATATATACGAAAAGAGAGAGAGAGAGAGAGAGAGAGAGAGAGAGAGAGAGAGAGAGAGAGAGAGAGAGAGAGAGAGAGAGAGAGAGAGAGAGAGAGAGAGAGAGAGAGAGAGAGAGAGCGAGAGCGAGAGCGAGAGCGAGAGCGAGAGCGAGAGCGAGAGCGAGAGCGAGTAGGGTTAAGATCATGCGATTTCGCCCTTTACTTAGGGATACTTAGAAATGTTTTTTTGGTTATTATAATCCCTAAGAAACAGCTAAAACTACAATTTTTGCTTGGGTTCTAAGTTCAGTATAGTTTAGGGTACCGTCGAAGTCTCGGAGCTTGGGACTTTCCGGCTTCGCGCTGCTGGGCGTCGGGTGGCAGTCCGACATCGGCTGATGGAGCTGTCGAGCCTTTTGTTCTGTTATATAATTTAGGACTATCATATATAGGGTTTAGGGGTTTAGGAGGGTTTGGGGTTTAGGGTTTATAAGGTTCAGGACTTTGGTTTTAGCGTTTCTGTTAAGTTGAAGGGTGCATGGCTGAGTATAGTAGAAGCCAACAAGTTGGATTCCCAATAGCCACGATCCTTCAGAGTAATTTATAGGGAATCCCAGCACTATTTGGCCTTAATCTGGTTTCCAAGCTATTTTTAAATGTGTATGTATTATGTATGTGTATATATATATATATATATATGAGAGTGACAGACAGAGAGACAGAGAGAGAGAGAGAGAGAGCTGAGATTTGGGGTTTGCAGATTCATGTCTGGTGGTTGCCGGGCGCTGCAACACCCTCTACGAGCCAAGGGTTGTCGCAGCTTTGAGGCCATTCGGTTGACCCTAGCATATGGGCGGCGACGGAGTGTCGATGGTGGACAACTGGCTTCAGCATAGCAAGCAGCTACACTGGCAAGGCCCAGTTTGTGGATGAGGATGCAGATCCATAAGCCACCTCAGTCCCAGCAGAATTGATCTACGCCTCAGCGAGCTCCAATCTTCACAGCATTGCCTTCAGCGCTGCAGCAAAGCCGTCTTGCCCACACAGCCAAGCCTTCACGAATTTAGGGCTAAAGGCTAAAATCCTAAGCATCCTTCCAGAGAAGCTTGAGGAATCAATCGTCTTCAGAACTTCACCCAGACCCTAAACCCTAAACCCCCCTAAACCCTAAACCCCTAAACCCCAAACCCCCGAAACCCTAAACCCCTGAACCCTAAATCCTAAACCCTAAATCCTAAACCCCAGACCCTACATCCCGCCTTTGCCAGGTCTGCTCTTCGCAAGAAGCGAGGATGCCGATGCCGAGGATTGGCTTCTGTGGTTGCTTTTGTTTAGGATTTGGGGTTTAAGGTTTAGGGGTTTAGGGTTTCAGGGTTTCGGGTTTAGAGTGCACGCTTTGTCTCTCTCTCTCTCTCTTTATGTCTCTCTTTTTTAAACCTTGCTTGATGTCATTTAGGCTTCAATCGTGGGTACTAGTATAGGGACTGCCTTTCCAAGCCAATGGCTACCAAGCGCAGCTCGCTTGAACCGAAGTCCTCGACCCCATGAACTCTGACCCCCCAATCCCTAAAACCTGCACAGCCCTACCCAGAGGCCCCAAAGTAGTTCCTCTTCGGGATTACCCTATAGGATTCTATATACGAACTCCAAAATGAACTACTTTGGGGCCTATGGGTAAGCCCTACACCATTAAGCCGGACATCCCCGGAACAAAAAGCCCCGCAACAATAGCAAGCCTAGCGACCCTTATCATACACCCGTAAAACCTACAACCCCAGAACCTGAACTCCTTTTCCACTAAAAGTTCCCAAACCCAGACCGCAAAAGCCCTAAAAAATCCTGAACCCCATAAACCCAACACTTGCAGATCCAAACAGCCCGATCCGCGGCGGCTGTGCGCGCGGCCCGGGCACTGCGAGGATGGGCTCGGCGCTGGGCAGCTGGCCGGAAGATTCGGTGAACAGTAGAACCACATTATAATAAACTACACCATACCATAATATACTGCAACATACTACAACACACTACATGCTATTAAATACGATGGGCTTGTTCTGCAGGGCTTCTTTTGCGTTGGGCGCCTTGGGTTTAGGCTTTCGGATCTATTGCCTGGGCTTTAGTCTTTATAAGTAAGGATTAGGGCTTACTTAGCAGTAGAGTAGGCAACTCTTAGCCATTTAAAGGTACTACAATCCCTCCACAACCCCAACGGTGAACCTTTCGTTCCCCGAATCTCACCGAGGATAATAATGGACCTT